GTGTGCTGTGATAAATCCTTCACTGATTTTGGATCCATATGGAAAGCATCTAAGCAGTCTGTAGCGTAATACTGGTAGGGTTGCCATGTTCGCCCATAGTCAAGTGATTTCTCCAGGATCATTTGGTCTGGACGTGCAGATTCAAAGGTGATAACTAAGTTATCTGTTAATTCAATGGTTTTGTTCCAGGAGAGGGTAATGTTAACATGGAGAGGCTTTGGGTAGTCCTTCCAAGTTGTAGACTGCCAAAATGTGGAGGGATGTCTTCCTTCAAGATCAAACATTAGTTCAGGTGGATGTGCCAGCTCTTGTGTACTTGCATCACATTCATTATTGCACATGTAGGGATTCCCCTATGGAAGAAAAACAGAACAGCTTTACTAGCAGCATTGTATGACTGCCTACAGTACACAGAGACATTCCTGGCTTGACACATTAGAATTGCATTTCTGTTGTTCAGGAAGAAGGCCAGGCTACCTCTCTCTCTTGTTCAGGAGCAAAGTGAAGAAAGAAAATAAATGCTTGGAGGGAATATCTCAATCTTAACTAGATTTTTCCTGTTTGCTTGATTTGTTAAATTAGAAAAAATATATAGTTTCTTAGATTTTGTGATTTAAGTGTTTTTCTTCGTGGCTTTTAGAGAAAGAAAAATAATTTATTTATCTGGAATATATTGGGCCAATAATCTAGTCACACACAAAACAATGAGCAAGTGTCTAATGGCTGAATAACTCTGCTTCTTTTTAAAAGAATACAGCAGCCAAGCAAGGAGAATTCCTTTCCAGGACAAGTGTATTTCATAAAAAGTCACTTGTAGAGCGAGTGCCTTAGAATTCACAATACAGACCCCATACACTCTATGTGAAACAACATCGCTATAGCTTTCATGCTTTTTATTTCTCCTGGTGTCACATTTATCATGCTTAACTATGTTCCCATTTAGTAATGTCTCCCCTTAAAACATTTACACTGTTCACCACAAATCATTAGATACACTTTGTAGTACAAGCTTTGGGGATTGATCCAGATATCTGCCACCCTATTAGCTACAGGTTAGCAGAGTACTTCAGGAAAGACTTTTCACCAGACACTGCTCCAATTTATCAGGACAAGATAATCCACCATTTGATTAGGTGGGAGATGTCAGCGGCTCCAGCTGGAAAGCTGCTGAGGTGGTTGGAGGTTTGAACCATAGGTTAAATAAAAAAAATCTTGCCAATAATGTGAAGCTTTTACTGCTCTTGTCCTCTCAGGCAAGGTGAAAGTGAATTATTCTGCTCCTGGGCTTGTGATGTATTAGTTTGTATGCTACAATCTTCTTCCTTATATAGGCTACTTCATCGGTAGGCTGGGGATATTTTGAAAGGCCACTGCAAGCTATCAGATATTCTGAGCCATGTTGAATCATGGCAATCTAATCTAGGTTTTTTATCAGCACTCATGTTTAGGGTGCTTTGCATTCATAAAGTAAATAACTGCTCCGTATTTTTATAAATCAATGACAGTTACTGTGTGGGCTATAGTGGACAGCACTGTTGGATAGCAAGGTGTCGACATTTATATTAAGCAGAACTAGGTGTAAGAATATGCTTAACTGTGCATATTAATGGGAGTTCTATTCACATATTGATGGAAGAATCAATTTAAGACCCTCGTGTAATTAGTCAAACTTTTTTTCTTATAATTACAATTATGTTTCTCTCTATCTAAAGACCTTCAGGCTCTAAAGCTTTTCAATCACACCCACTGCGTGAGCTGGGTCTCAGATAATGAGCTTCCATTTTGGTCACTGCCACATTCTCTGACATACTCATGTGAAATGCAAGAAAAAGGACTAAAGCACTGAGTCTGACCTCCCCAGAGGCAACTTCCTCCTACCTACTCAGAGAAATACTTTCTCTCTCTCTCAATTTCCTATCAATACATCTGGATCTTAAAACTGACAACAATTCATTGGGACTCAAATATAACATGGAGAAAGAGAAAAAAGAATAATTGGAAAAACAGAATGCTGTTTGTTAAACTGACAGATTCTAAACATGGAGCTGTAACTAGGAATATTCTGTAAAAAGTAAATCCTTGTTACAATTCTCCTGCTTTCAAGCTCAGTATTACTATTTCTATGCAACCTCTTTAAAAAAACCAGATGGAGGGAAAACAAAAAACAAAAATAAGTTCCAAGCAGAATGGGTAACCCAATTTTTTTCTGTATTATTTAAACTCAGTTTAACATATCCAGAGACACAGATGCAAAGATCTGTAACCTTCCTTAGGCTTTTTTCCCCCTCAAGAAGGTTATAAATATGTGGAATCTGTCAAGATTTATAAATTTTAAATATATGTAAATGCACACTTTACAGAAAGAGGTCAGAGTTTCACAAATCACACCTTCACAGAAAATTTATTGGAAAAATATGGTCATTTCAGTGTCTGTCAACCTGAAGCTATCTGTATAGTCATTAATGTGTATGCTACAACCACCTTTCTCCCAAAAACTACTTCATCTGGAAGTCATGGATATCAAAACAAAAAATCAGAGCTACTTGAGAGCAACATACAAGGCAGTTTGCAAGTAGTTCATGGGAGCATGAGAAGGGAGGGAGAGGGGCTAGGCTATGAACGACGCATGCCCCTGGAGGTTGGGGGGGGGCATGGTGACTGCGGGGGCAGGCAGCAGCAGCGGGTGATGACCGGTGGTCGGTGACCATCTGCAGACGCCACCAGCAGCGTCTGTGGTGGCCAATAGCGATAGGCGACCACCTGCAAATGCCGCTGGAGGTGTTGGCAGGAAAGGGGCCGGGAGGGTGGCAAGCGGCGACCACCCACAGGTGGGTGCACCACCAATCTCAGCGGGGGCACCCGCATGTACCCCCTACTTATCACCAATGAGCTAGGCACTAGGTGCCAACCATTGGCCAGTTAGTCTTACCTCAATCCTGGGTAAGCTTTTTGATAGAATTATCCTGGCGCATGTCCATGAGGGGCCAGCGGCGAAGGTTATGCTTAGGGGCAACCAACATGGGTTCATTAGAGGCAGGTCCTGTCAGACCAACCTGGTGGCCTTCTATGACCAGGTCACAAAATCCTTAGACGCAAGGGACTTCAGGAAGGCCTTCGACACTGTCTCTCACCCCATTCTTATTAAAAAACTAGGGGACTATGGTGTCGACATCTATACAGTCAATTGGGTCACTAACTGGCTGGAGGGCCGCATCCAGAGAGCGGTGGTGGATGGGTCATTTTTGACCTGGAGGGATATGGGTGGTGGCGTCCCCCAGGGCTCAGTCCTTGGGCCCACACTGTTCAACATCTTCATCAGTGACTTGGATGAGGGGGTAAAATGCGCCCTGTTCAAATTTGCTGATGACACTAAGATGTGGGGGGATGTGGGCACACTAGAAGGGAGGAATAGGCTGCAA